CATCTGTATGCATGCTAGCATTGTACCATCCGCGTACAGTCATCATGTACCATCAATAAAGATACAGCACGGTCAGTCTCTCGTGTCTTCTTTATATTACTAAAACCCACTATTACAATGGTGGCTCCAGGGGTTGCCGAGATTCGGTCTCGGTATATTTCTGATCGTCAGTCTTGGCAACGCTGACCGTTCAGTTTCTACCGACTAAATCCTCGTCGATTTACTGTGAGTTTACTAGTGTTTTATACTGACTTGACCTTCCTATACACTGCACTATGGACACTTCAAACCCGTCACGGATAGCCCATCAGTTCGTCCAAACCATCCTGAAGCGACTGCATCAAGAGCATTCCTGCCCTACCCGGAAACAACAAATCTATGCCGTATTCGATGCGCTTCCTCCAGAACTGAAAGAAAAATACCTATTCGAACTGCCTCAAGACACCAACTCCTTCGAACGCAAGCTCCAGTACGAATTACAGTACGGTCAATTCCATTCTCAGCTCATTTTACCCGTATTACAACAACAACCTTCCCCTGGAAGCCAACCCAAACAACGACGACAAAGACCTATCGCTCCCAGAATTTGCTACCACTGCAGAAAGCCCGGACACGAAGTTATTCGCTGTTGGCAATACAGAAATCAGCATAACTACTGATGAAGATTTTACTGGATTCAACATTGACTTAGGACCGGATTTACAAGGTATAAAAGTGGAAAGTAAGGCATGTGGCTGTAAGAGTGATCCATGACCTTTGGTACGAGAGAACAAGCTGTAAGAGTGAAACGTGTCTCCGACCGATACTAATGACTTTAAGAATTTGGGTGCGACGTACGTGAAGATTACAGTGAGATTTTTACCACTACTTGCTGCTGATGGACAGTTGCCTCTTCGACGAATTTCGCCTCTACGATGCATTTTTCAACAAGGGAAGGAGGAACATGAGCTCCACTCGTCATCACCAACGAACACTGGAGAAACGCCCAACCTGAGCAAGAGGAATATAAAAAAAAAATCGTGCTAGTATTTCTTTTCTATTTGTTTTATAATTTCTACGAAATTCTCCTAAGAAGGGAAGTGTCATATGGAAAACGTGATGTGATCATCTTGTGATCACACGCTGCACGATCTAAGCGGACTTAGCATATAGGTCTATGACCGACGCTTATGCGACCCGGAATACCTGCAAGGTATTCGCGTCTACTTCCATCTATCTCTACCTATATAAGCTCAGCACTGTTGTACCATCTGTACACACGGTACCAAGTCATCTGTATGCATGCTAGCATTGTACCATCCGCGTACAGTCATCATGTACCATCAATAAAGATACAGCACGGTCAGTCTCTCGTGTCTTCTTTATATTACTAAAACCCACTATTACACTGTCAACGGCTCCATATGCCAAGAGTCCAAGATGGGCCAATTGCAACCTTACGAGGACCCTTTAGCTGTTAGAAAGCAGGTTTTGGAAAACAGAAATGGGTTTAAAACGACGGCCCAGGTTTGGGTTTTCACAACTTTGACTGAACGCAGAAGTATTTAGCTACACAATGGTGTGACACGAACCCTCTTTCTACTGCTAGGGGTCCCATTAAAAGCGGCAATGTTGCACGATCGAATTAAGGGAAGTGGGCCGGTACATGGTACCGAATTCGTGTACATGCACGAAAATTTACACTTTCGCGCACTCCCAAACACATTTTTGTTTCGGTTTATGGCGTTGTAGCCAGATGATTTGTATACACTGGCGTGAAAACCGTTTGTGCGCGCAACATCCGGTTCGGGAGTTATGGCTGCTAGAAAATTCCAGAAAGTTTAAATGCGTTCAGGTGTACCAAAAGTCTCATTATGGATCAATCTCCCTCAAAATTTGCACGTAAATGCGCATTATTATTATTATTATTATAACAACTACAGTAGCCAAACTCCATTAAAGGAGACTTTAACCCTAAGGTGAAAACCTTTGGGTGTTTAGGCTATTGGAAAATTTTTTTGTTTAATTTTGAAAATTTTATACTTTTTTTGGTTTGATTTTATGAGATAAAAGTTACCCACCTAGGAATCGAACCCAGGACATACAATCTTAAAGCCAGACGTACTACCACCAAGCTAGGCAATTAACATTAAATATTTGATTATTATTATAACAACTACAGTAGCCAAATTCCATTAAAGGAGACTTTAACCCTAAGGTGAAAACCTTTGGGTGTTTAGGCTATTGGAAAATTTTTTTGTTTAATTTTGAAAATTTTATACTTTTTTTGGTTTGATTTTATGAGATATGAAGCATGCCCATGAAGATCGTTTTTACACCGATCCACTGTTCTAGCATGTTTTTCAAATTTTAAAATGAATTTCAAAAATTTTAAAATTCATTTTAAAATTTGAAAAAAATTATGGGAGTCTGGGTCAGTGTAAAAACGATCTTCATGGACATGCGCATTTACGTGCAAAATTTGAGGGAGATCGGTCTATAATGAGACTTTTGGTACACCTGAACGCATTTAAACTTTTTGGAATTTTCTAACAGTCAAAACTCCCGAACCGGATGTTGCGCGCACAAACGGTTTTCACGCCAGTGTATACAAATCTTCTGGCTACAAAGCGATATAAAACCGAAACAAAAATGTGTTTGGGAGTGCGCGAAAGTGTAAATTTTCGTGCATGTACACGAATTCGGCACCATGTACCGGCCCACTTCCCTTAAGCGGGCGCGGGTGACTAACGGCGCCCATTGTTCAATTGGTGAAAGGTGACTCCGGCCGTCAGTGCTGTCCTGTGGGATGGTATTGCCCACATAAATGAGTACCTGAAGATTATATGGAGAACCGCGCGTGAAGTACAGTTAAGAAACCATCGATGGGTTCCTTGATGTACTATCCTTAACACTTGCTGTTTCCCATTCTTCAGGCTCTTCCGAGCTGCCGAGAAGTGGTGTCGCCACTGTAGCCAGCCGCTCTATGGGTTTTTGCAAACGGGCTGCTGGTAACCAACGAAAAAAGAAGAGAGGAACAGTGACCGGTTGTCCACCACGCCATAAACCAGCCCCCGGTGGTTGGCTTTGGGCGTGGTTGGCGACCGGTCACTTTCTCTTTTCGCTTCTATCCCCACGTTGGCTGCTGTCCTCTCTAAGGTACGTGGATGTAAGCGGTATACCGGAGGTGGCGCAGGATCCCGTTTACGACATCAAATTAAAATGCCGCGTACCATGGGCTGACATGGCACCAGTAGCTTAGCAGCTACGTACGCCGCTATCAATACCCACAGTTGATGGAAATTCGTGATGCATGGTTGTGGCATATCGACTTGGCAGGAACTATTGCATACTGCCGTTTATGTGCTCTTCTAGCTGCAGGTGTACATGTCCCGTCGAGGACGGGTTTGCGGTAAACTATCCAGAGTATCACTACAGTTACAAGTCATGTTAATGCACTGGTGTATACACCACAACATTAACATGTATAGTAACTGTACTGTACCAGTGCATAATTTTTCGAAAAACAATGCCGTTTATGCGGCGAGCGCAGAGGTTTCTTATATACAAGTACCTGAGCCACGGGCCCGCGAGCGGCATTACAATAATTCATCTTTCATTGGACAAGGGACAGCCCGTAGTCGTTCCATCCCGGCTTTCCGCGTTCGGTGTCGTTTTGTCACGTAGGTTTAGTAGAATGTACTTATCGCTTGAGTAGCATGTCATGTTATGCCGGTATCGGATTTCTTTGTAGCAGCGTGCACTCAACATTCTTGTCAGAGCACACACGGAAATGCTCTTCCGTGAATACCACTGTCAGCTGCATAATCAGCATTTCCGCTCTCCCCTAAACATCAGCACAACGTGGCTTTTCTCACTTGTCAGCGCCGGGAAAATGCAGTTGTTTGCCGTGTCAGGTGCCGAGTAGTGGAGTACAATTATGACTTGCATTACAGCATTGTAACCAATATATGCCTTCACACCACGTGACTGCACTAAATATGGTAAAACAGAAGAATAACTTGACAAATCGTAACGCGTGACCGCATTAACGCTATGAAACCACAATACTGACTGTAGTGCACTTATTGCCTATAGGCTGCCGAAAATGCACAAACCAGATTTTAAATACGGTACGCAACCGACCATCACTAACAACCTGACGATATACAGTAAAACACACGCATACCACTGAGTTTCCTTCCGGTAGCTCCAATTTTCAAGAACTAGCTAACCGACCGGAAATGCTTCACCGGAAGTCTTTCTACCTGTCTCAAGAATCTTCACAGGCTGATTTTTCGCAAGCGTAGGTAGGGAGCAGGTGCGAGACCGTTAAGCTGACTGCCCTTTCGGCTATCAGACATATGGGCAACCTACCGAGTCTCAAACTGAAAATTTAACATAGTGGACAATTACAGGATTCGGACTCTGGAAACATTTACGGCCGCCCGGTGTGGCAGCGTGATGCGCTTTCTGTCTTGCAAAAACTTGCTTCATCTTTATTACGAAAAGTGGGTTTACCTGCAGTTCCGCTATTGTAAGATGTAAGACGAAAACCAATGTTGTTATAAAGAATATCATCAGGCTGTTCATAAGGTATTTTATTTGTCTGGAAGCACACCGATGCGGAACGTCGTTTACTGGCAGAATTAAAATGCCTCATCCGGCGGCTTCAAATACGTCGAGTCGGCAACGTTTTAGTGTGGGGTATCCAATAAAATTACAGTGGTTCCTCATTAGGCGATCAATCTTACATCATAATCTTATGTAAGATTGATCAAGTCTGCATATATGCAGACTTGATTATGAACTGCGTGCAGCAGCTACCCAGTACGGTAGTAGACAGGCCAGGTGCACACTGCACCAATTCGCCAGGTACGTTACATGTACGAGCGCGTACGCTGCTTGCCGATCATGATAAAATGTACAGAAAACTGAAGGAAGTCGATCTTGTACCAGATAGCTGGCACATCCATTCCTGTGTTCTGCAGTATAAACGCTGAGAATTTATCTAGCTTAATTCTTGGCCGTTATACGCTAACGTTGACGTTGTTGTTGAGTGTTGATTCCGCTGATAACTGGCCCTGCACCATGTCTATCAACAGCGTGATAATTCTTCTCTGCTGCAGCGCCGGATTAATTGGCCATACTAACGTTATCATCGCGGCCAGCTCGGCGAAGACATCGGCCCTGGTCCGGCATCTCATCGCTGCTGAAGACGTCCACGTGCCGCCCAACGCCGACCAGCCCGGTCAGCCGGTGCTCGTCGAAGTCAGTCTTCAAGTCACCGCAATACAACACGATGTAGGTATTAGGTACATATACAGTAACCTGCGCCTGCGCTGGATATTTCTGACCAGAACTGCCGAGCGAAACCATAAAAAAGAAATCTCGTCCGTACATTAAGTTTAGACTGCGGTACTGTATTTATTGCGATTTTATTCGGAATTGTTGGTAAATAAACGTATATATACGCCTTTTTGCGTTTTGTTCGCGGTTCATGCAAGGTGTACTAGTAAGTTGTTCCGTCTAACCTGTTGTGGGGTCATAGAGTCCGGAGCTGGATTTGGCAATGCTGCGGGGATTTCTGGACCTGAACTGGAGGGACAGCCGGCTGACGTGGGAACCTCAGGAGCACCACAATATTACCGCGGTACGCCTCCCGGCCGACCGCGTCTGGCTGCCCGACATTACGCTGTATAACGGGTTAGTCGATGTTGGCGGAAGGACTGTGTCTGTACATACGAACAATCGATCAACGGCCACGCCGGGTTTACATCGCTGTCCTCTGTTTTCTTGGCGTCTAGTGCATTCATTAAGCAGCTACGGTACGCGCTGTCGAGCGGTATTCCCGGAAGAACGAAAGCTGGTCTTGGTGCAGTTGGACGGCCGTGTCACGGGGGTACCCCGCGTGACCTTCCCGTTGAGCTGCAATAAAACGCGCAACTATTACAGCTCCGGTGAAGTGCACTGTGCTGTTAAGCTAGGTACGGTGCAGTCATCGGATTTGCCGTTTGTGGAGAAAAAACAACAATTTAACTGGTTTTGATGTAGCTTCGTGGATGTATGACGGGTCACTGGTAGAGTTCTGGCGAGCGACGAGATACTTCAACGAACCGGTAGTGTTTCTGTATATATCTGTCGATTATGATTATGAATATAGCTGCATTGTTCAGCAGAGTGTCTTGACCATTGCAGACTACTGGGATCTGTATTCCTCCCGTGATTCCACCTACCGTATCGTCGACAGCAAGGTGCAACGCAACGTCGTCTACTACGCCTGCTGCCCCGAGTCCTACCCGTCCATCGACATGACCTTTACCGCCCAAAGAGCGGCAGCATCGCCACTGCGACTCACTTGGCCTGCTTTTATACTCAGTTCAATGCTAATAATAATACGTTAGTCTTAATGTGGTTGTATATATAGAAGTATGCACATTACTTATCTGTAGTTCAGCTACTACATATAGAACAGAATAATTATTATTATGCTACATATAATAATAATAATGGATATACTGTATTATATCTATATATGTATAATAATATTAATGACGCTGGTGTAATTATATTGTACAATACAGAGTACATGATCGAAGGTGCTACCAGATCTGCACAAAATGTTGCAATGCGCTGCATGAGATTTAAAAGCCGATAGCCAGTACCGCTATCGTAGGAAAACCAACAGAAAACTTTATGCAAAATTTTGCGATATAATGACAGTAATGCCAGTATGTAGAACAAAAAAAAACACTTCGTTTTGTCTCATATTTCGGTCACTTTAAGTACATGTTTCCATATTTCGGTCACCTGGTTTTAAATTTCCGGGCCAACAAGAAATGCCAGAAATGATTGGTTTTCACAGTAAAAACTTCGATCATGAATTTCGAAGTTTAATCAAGAGAAAATTTCCATAAAGAACTAAAGGACGAACAGGAATTGGACCGAGTGCAATGTAAAAGAACCGCTTTTCCACGTTAGTAAATTTAAGAAATTTTAAATTGCAGTGTTCCGTTCTTGTTTTAACGATTACAGACAGGTGAAAAACAAATCGGAAAGAAATTAATTTTTCTGCGATCAGCAGCTATTCATGTAGCGCGCCACATGGGGATGGTGTAAGCGACCGGTGTCCGAAATACTGTATGAAACCGTATCCTTAAAGTGACCGAAATATGAGACAAAACGAAGTATACAGATTAAAAGAAAGTTGGTTCGTCAAGAGAATTTGGTATTTTGTTTGCGTTGAAAATTTGGAAACCCTGTTTTACCGACAACTCCGGAACCGGATGTTGGGAGTATACGAATCGTTGAGCTGTACAATAACGTAGAATGTCGAAAACGATGCAAAACCAAGGTTGGGGAAAAAGTTCTCGTGCACCAAGCGAACTTTGCACCATGTACCGCTTTCCAAACGGGTCACATTCAAATTCAGTAAGTCCAACCGAATTTCTACTGTAATCTTCTTTGGTGACTTCGTCTGTCGTGCGCACTGGAACGATTCGTAGCGCACCTCCACCACACCGTACGGCCGCCGGCCGTTAAAAAAATTATCAGTTTTAGTGGGCAATCAACAACCACGCCGTTTTTTTGCGCTGTACAGTGCGAGTTTGTCTCTACATTTGACATTATTTTGTCAGTCGATCTTAGTATCTGTACTGTAATCTATCATAACATGTACATGTACAAGATGAGCACGGATGAATATTGGCTTACGACTAGGTACTGTAAATAAGTGAGTTAGGATTTTTTGTTACTCGAAGTCGTAGAATTACGTCGTAGTATTACTGTTTAGTGAACGGGGCTGCTACAATTATGTGAAAGATTGACCGAACTGTTGATACAGCTCAGTGCATTGGGCCGCAAGGTGCGACAGTGATCAAGTAAAATACTAGAAAACGGTAATGTGCTTTTTGGTTTCCGTCGGTTAATCACAAGAAACACAGAAGCGAAGCCAAACTGTTTCTTGTACAAGTGTTGTTTAACGTGCCCGTGGTAACAGACCAGCTCATGTTAGCCCTATGGCGGCATCCATGGTAACAAGCTTTTGAGTGACCACCGGCCTGAGAATTCTTAAAACAGCAAAAGGTCGTCAGTCTCACAACATCCACCGCCCTGAAAGGATTCTAGAATATTTTAAAGCATGAAAATCGGTTTATCAGGAGCTGAGATCACCCGGGACAACGAAGAGAGGCCGAACACCTGCAAGAGATGTTTAGTATTCATATAACCACTTGACAAACCCATGTACTGTAAGACTATGCAGATCGATGCACGACGATTAAAACGAAATTTTCCATAAATTTAATAAATATAATAAATTAGCAAGCAAAGTGGATAGAATTAAAAAAAATCCATGCCCGCAGAAACATAAATCCTTGTGTACGAGTATGTGGCATAAAGGTAACCGTTTTCCACAAAACACGTATATTTCACTATTAAGCCGCTAACTGGATCGAGCTTCGCGGCACTCTGGGAATTTTGTTGTGCTGCGCTAGGACGGTCTTTGCACCGACGGAAGTGCTGACACATATTGCCAATGGATTGTGACCAGAGATAAAGTGTCCAGTAAATCACTGTACCCTTGTAAATGAACTTGGAAGGATATAAAGCCTGTTTTAATTAACAGCGGCGGGTAAAATTCTTGGAAAAGGGCCAGACATTTATTTCTGTAACGCGGCCTTTGGCCGGCGTTCACGCAGCTGACAACACACAGCCAATAAAACAGGCACCTACCCGGTAGCCGGTAGCTAGGCGAGTTCTCGTTCGGCCATGTGATAAGTGCGTGCCAATACCAGCAATAACGGTACTGCGTGTTCAGTGAGTGTACGAGTGTGCATCGCGGGATATTGTCGGCTCAGAATATTTACTTCCTTTTGGGCGTAGCGAACACCAAGACAGTAGCTCTGACCGACATACAACAACACAGTGCGGTTTTAAGCCAACAAAAACAGCAAAACAAAACCAAACACAAAACAAAGGAAAGCTCAACGCAGTGAGCCCCCTACATAAGAAGAAGAGGAGCGGCGGGAGGGAGAAAATTTGTGAAAGCAAAAGTGATTAGTGTAAGTCCGGCGAGATGGCTTTATATAATAACCTACTATTAACAAAAACTAGGACACGAAGCAATCAACATGTTATTATTAACGACTGTCCATCTCCTTTCGAAGAAGAGCAAGACCACCATTGTCCACATGGCGCAGGTAGGAATCCGATGGCCATTGTCCGGCTGGGGAAGTAGGGCACGCAGCCGTTATAAATGGATTTCAATAGAAATCCTTCTCGGCCGGTGGCCGGACCGGAATTAGTCTGTTCCTTCGCAGACAAGTGCCTGATTGCGCGCTTTTGTGGCTACACAAATGTAACCGTACTAAGTATTTCTGAAGTCAACTGTACCTGTAAACTGCAGGTTTTTATTAGTACCTATATGCGCAGGCTTGTTGTTATGCAATAAATGCTGCTCCAGCAGCCAAATGACATCTCGCCAGCTGAGTTCATATTCGGGGGTGTTGGACAAGAAAATGTCATAATATCTCCAGTGTGCAAGGACAGGCCAAAATGGCAGGCCAAAATGTATACCAGGTGCACATTGCCAATGTGCACCTGGTATACATTTTGGCCTGCCACGGTATTGCTCGGAAGCAACCTACCCAGGCTTATCGTGTCGTCGGTTCGAGCAGACAATGCCTCGTCCAGCATGTCGTTAACTAAACAGGTGCAGTCTTCCTTTATTCAGACAACAGCCAATTAGCGGCCCGTGGCAGCAATAATTACCGAAAAGACATCACTTCTTAACATTACCCGTGGGCCACGGATAATGTTAAGTGATGTCTTTTCTGAACTAACTAACCCCAGAACCACTGCCGGCGAAGGGACGAACGTCACGGTGCGCTGCAATATCCGGCTGCCACAAGGCCCACAACCGAAAAACGTGTTGACCGACGTTAAGAATCACATGATATATATCATGTGATTCTTAACGTCGGTCAACACGTTTGGTGGTGCCATATATGGCGCCACAAGGGACGGATTATTCTAGGACCACCGGGAGTGCCATATGTCATATCTACGAGTGGAGTGGATAAAAACAGCCTGGCCTCACATCTCGTTACCAATGTAGCCGTGCTCTAGAGACGCTGCAAGTCGTTCTAAAGTGGTAATGCGATTCAAAGAGAACAGACTTACCGTTAGAAGTGAACTTATGCATAAATGCTCACCTCGTAGTGAACGACATGTTGGCGGAGGCGATGCTGCACAACCGGCAGGACGACCGCATCGTACTGCCGGGGCGGGGCCTGAGCAGCAGCATGGCGGACAGCGTGGTGTCCCGACCGCGACTCGGGGAGGACGCGACGTTCACCTGCAGCGTCCCCGACGACCTCGACTAGATATGACCTGGACGCACCAGAACTACCGAGTTTTCGAAAACGGAAAGCCGCTGCCGACGGAGAACACAACGGGACAGGCGTATAGCTTTAGCCACGCCCACCACACCGTTATATTGGTGATCCCCAACGTCAGCATGCGCTCCAGCGGATCCGTGCAGTGCGTCACCAGCCCCGCCCACTCGAGCCGCCGCGTCGTCCTGCAGCGCTTCCTGCTGCCTGCCGCTGATCACGCAGCGCGGCGAGGTCTTCGCCGCTCTGAACGCTTCCTACGTGACCGCCGTGGAGGGCGAGGAGGTCACGGTGCAGTGCAGTCTGCGGCTGCCCCTATCGCAGGGCGTTTACCTGAATTTAAGCAACCATTTCATGTGGGTCCACCGCGGCCGCATCGTCAGCGGTCCCCGGGAGGAGCCCTACCAGTCCCTGCTGCCCGCTCCAGGAAATCCGCGGGAGGTGGTAATGGACTTCGCCGCGTTCGCCAACCGGCCAGGACACCTGGGGCACGCGAGACTACACTTTCGGGCCGTCACGCTGGACGACGAAGGATCGCTGCAGTGCCTGTTCTGGCCACACCTGGGCGTGCACGAGTGGATTGCCCAGAGGACCACGCTGGTGGTCTTCGCCAGGGAACACTCCCGCTGGTTTCGTTGAATTTGTCTGTGCATGTGTGTACGATATCAGCGCGTATAATTCCACTTTCTAATAACTGCTGATAATGCTTTAACTTACGCAGCACAGGCTACTCTTAAATACGAAAAAAAGCGACGGTTCCGACAATAACTTTGGTGTGATAGAATTCAAGAAATATAAGGTACTGTAGCTTGGGTCTCTTTATGGCAGCAGTAATGGCGTACAAAATAAGAAGTGCACATCGTCGTGACCTTTAACTTCCGGTAGAGTGTCAACGTGTTGTTATCGACATTGACAGCAGACTGGCATCGTTCGCCTTCAATAAAATCACGTTTAACTTAATCGCCTTTTATCGTCTTCATATGATTTTATCACCTTCAGTCTGATTGGCTTTCGTATTTGCTATAATTTATTTAATGAAATTTGTATGGAATAAATATTGACCATTTATAAACCGTGGATAAAAGTATATCGTGGATAAATGTACTAGGCATATTTATTTATTGAATAGTTAATTATCTAAAGCAACTGTTTAAAACAGCCGATCCATGAAGAATTTTAGTTGTCAATTACGGCATAACAATTATGTTCTGTCGTGGTGTCTGGGTTTACCGGTTGTTGACAATTTTCTCGTTACAAACCAGATTTTCAATCCTTTCAATTTTTATAGCTATGCATTTTGAGAAGGGGTATATAACATAGTGTTTACATGTGTAATAAAGCCGTTGTGCGGGATAATGGAATTTGCCGACAACCTGTCCAAAAAATAATAATGTATTCTGCTGTGCAAAATAAACCCTGCGGCTCATAAACGCGAAAACAAATCAGTTAATGCATGATTCACGAAGCTGGCAACGAGTAAGACGACTGGTCGCGCTGGTTGTTATGACTGGAATCCAATTAACTGCACACGAGACAGTCCGCGGAAACCTGTCTCATTCCGCCATTTCACTCAAGATCAACACAATTAAGCGGTTAGCATGGCAGTACTGGAAACAGTTTCGCTATATAAGCGGACGCGAAAAAGCGATATTATTGTGAGACAGTCTGCAGTGTTCTCTTTTCCGTTAAGCACAGCCTCGAATATCGTAGTATTCCTTTGTTGACCGTTGCACGCCGCCATGCGTTCCCTGCTCCTCCTGACCATCCTGCTCGTGGCCGCCTTCTCCGGCTCGGTGGCTGGCGACGGTTGTGAGGCCCAGTTCTGCATGAAGTCAGGCTGTATGCCGCTGAGTCGATGCGGCGGTTGCGGCATGTGCAACAGCATCGTCGCGCGCCGCGAACGTTCGGTCCGTGCGGCCGATCTGCCACTCCCCTGACCACTCGCTTAATATGACCTTTTGCTTGCCTTCTGCGTTAGATGTGCGGTTGTCCTTGCGCACGATGAAATAAATTTCTTCTTTCTGCTGATGTCCGAGCAATTTTACCTGCTTTAAAGCAGCAGTAATTTCGTAGAGTGTGTCAGCAGAAGTATGCAATCGGCAAGAAAGACTTGTGTACAATAAACACCATATACTTCTTTCTATGGTCAACGTATCTCGCTAGCCTCTCACAATCAGCCTACAAGTCAGGCAGCAATGCGCTGGTGGCCGGGTAGCCTGCCAAATCGTGATGTAGCACCGGAAGTAGGCGTGCCTTTTTTTGTAACAGTACTTACGAGTACTGTCATGCTATGGGCAGAACCCGTAAAATGAGTGTGCATAGTACATTAAGGGAAGTGGCTCGGTACATGGTACCAAATTCGTGTACATGCACGAAATCTTTCACTTCCGCGTACTTCCAAACCATTTTTTCTCTTCTTTTTCTGTAGCCAAATTTTAAAAAAAATTATGGAAGTCTGGATAGGTGTAAAAACGATCTTCATGGATGTGTGCATTTCCATGCGGAATTAGAGAGAGATCGGTCCGTTATGAGACTTTTGGTACATCTGAATGTATTTAAACTTTTTGAAATTTTTTTACAGCCATATCTCCCGAACCGGATGTTGCGCGCACAAACAAATTTGGTACCATGTACCGCGCCACTTCCCTTAAGTGTAGTTCGAGTATACGGGTAGACAGACGCATGAAAACTTTCTCCCCAACACGTTTTTGGCACTGTTCAGCCACATGAAAGTCCATCGGGAGTAGTCCATCAAAAAACATCCCAGAAAATTTCAACGCAAACAAATGCATCGAAAGGCGCACTGCGAACGGATCTTCTTTACATTTTATACGGTACTGCACTTAGTATTCAGCATATATAATGTTTAAAGTTTAAAATTTGATCATTTTGATTAGTCTTTATGTGCGCAAGCGTACTGCTCTTTGTACTGTCTCCTGCCGAAATAAGAACTAGGTGAACATATATAAGTAGAAGCACTGGCATCATTGTTTTTTATCGTGTAACGATGGAAGCTGGTTTATTATCGCTCGTACGAGTATTACCGCAAAATCTTGGATGCAACCTTTCTGACGATTTCTTTAACGACAGCGGCACGAGATGTTATTTGCAGTTTAATTTCTTTCAGCTTAGCTAGTAGCATGTAAAGATGCAAGCGGCATTAATAATAAAAACGATGCTCTTAAATCACTTCATCTGGAACTGCTTATACAGCGCTCCCCGAAAGCAGACGACTGTTCAGGTTGGAAAAGGATGCGAGGTCACGTAGCAGCTATGATTACGATTAAAAGGAATCGAGAAATACCAGTTCACTGTGCGGCTAGATCGCGAGCCTAATTTATTAGAACGTTTCGTACGGACGGAAGAAGAACAAGAACCAAAATCACGTTTAGAAAATAACAGAATGGGCAGCTTCCGATAAATAGGCAGAAGGTATTTTCTACAGATACAATTCAAGTTTATTATCAGCAGAACGCAACTGGCATGGCGAATTAGTTGTGCGCAAGTCAGCCGCATTAGCGCATTATTGTTAGCGGAAAACTGAGGATGAACGCAACCCAAGCGAGGCGTAGCTGTGAGGCTGCTGCTCTTGTAGCGGTAAAGGTCATCTCAATGTACGGGTAGGCTTCGGGGCCGCTGGGGTAGTATAGAACTCTGCGGACTACCGTGCTGCCGGTTATGTGGTAGCGGGAGCCGAGTCGGTATGCATACGAATAGGCTGCAATGTACAGATTAATCAATACGAGTATACACCGTTTACGTTCCATGCGTTGAGATTGAACAAACAGTACGTACTGTTTAATGCAGCTTCGTTCTGCAGAAACATATGTACACTACCGGTTGTGCCGATTACACTGCTGGACGGCACAACGATAACGTCAATCACCGAACTATCATAAAGCCAGGAAGCTGTATTAAAAAAGAAATCGTTATTCTATATTTTATTCTCCACAAATGGGCAAAATTTCTTCGTCAACGCAAGTACGTATACCTAATTTAACAGCGCAGTGTACTTCGGCCTCGCCGGCTGCGTTCTGCGTACGACTACAGGTCAGCGGGAAGGACACGTAGGGTGACCAGGAGACCGTGCCATCGGGACGCACCCCGAGCAGCTCCCGTTCTTCCGGGAAGACTCGCTTGCAGGCGTTGTAGCTGGCAAGGAGCAATCAATGTACCAACATATATTCCAAGAAAGAGGAGAACATATATAGTATATACATAAGAACATACATATACACAAGAACATATATATATATATATATATATATATATATATAGGGGGAAATCGATTGCATATTATACACCTTCCCTGTACTGCTCCAGTCACCCGTATGGCTTGCCACGTTATGGCTGAACAGGGTTTTTTAAAGCGCTGCATTTATACCTGCACATTTACGCAGGTACATGTAAGTACCATGTGAGACGTAGTGATAATCAAAGTGCTGCAGTCATTGCAGTGACAGTAGAATTTGCATTTTGTTGTGCATCGCGCAAGCAGAATCGTGGGAGTGTGCACAAATCTAGTTCAGAACAGCACATTTACCACGTAGAATGATTCCCTTAATTTATTCTTCACTTTGCAACCGAAGTTGCGCAGAAGAAGCGTCTTTTTCGCCCCAAAATCGAAAATCAAAAGGATGGACGATTTCGAAAACTCTCAAAATGCAAGCCAGATCACGGTGCCACACCGGGCGGTTCCACCTGCGTCACGCGCCGGAAGTTTTTAAAATTAGTTTTTCTGTAACCCTTAGCTTTGAGGTCTTTATGAAATCTTCATGTAAAAAAACAGAAAAAAAATTTCCCACGAATACAAGGCAGTTTGAAGGTAATCACTCATACTCATACCGAGATACGCTTGATAAAGCGAATTTGTAGCAATCAATGTCCAGGTATAAATGTAGCGCTTTTAAAAACCCCTGTTCCCCCCTGACGTGAAAATCCATACGGATGACTGGAGCAGTACAGGGAAGGTGTATAATAGGCAATCGATTTCCCCCTATATATATATATATATATATGTTCTTAACAGCGTCATACATTCACAGTAGGTCAACAACACTACATACACTATGTTCTTAACAGCGTCATACATTCACAGTAGGTCAACAACACTATGTTCTTATATACCTATACGTTCTATATATACATATAAATATATATATATATATATATATATATATATATATATATATATATATATATATATATATATATATATATATATATATATATATATATATATATATATATATGTTCTTATATACCTATACGTTCTATGTATATATAAATATAACGTATATATAAGAACATATATATATGTATATGCGCCCTGTGCTGGCGTAGATCGCATCATTCGTGTGAAGAAGACGAACGCCCGTCCGCCAATATGGACTAACCTGTTATACAGCGTCATGTCGGGCAGCCAGACGCGATCGGCCGGAAGGTGTACCAGAGTGATATTGTGGTGCTGCAGCGGGTCCCACGTCAGCCGGCTGTTCGTCCACTCCAGGTTGAGAAATCCCAGCAGCGTAACCAAATCGCTGTCCGGGCGCTAAAGCCGATAGAAACTGTGAACTGTTTTACAATTCACAGTAAAATTACTGTATGTGACTGTACGTACATCATGCTGCACGCCCGTGGCGGTCAGGCTGAGGCTGACGTTCACCGGCTGACCGGCTTGGTCGGCGTTGGGCGGCACGTGGACGTCGTCCGCGGCGAGGAGCTGGCGGACCAAGGCCGACGTCTTCACCGAGCTGGCCGCGATAATGTTATTACGACCAATTAGTCCGGCACTGCAGCACAGAAATATTATCACGCTATTGACATACATTGTACAGTGCAAATTTATTATCGTATCAGGAAAATCGACAGTCAACAACAACAGCAACGACAATCGCCACAGTTAATCCAGTTTTGTGCTGAGCATGCTACAACTGTAATGTGTGTACAACTGCAGGGTACATTACAATTTTCTGCATTTTTTGTTTTGATGCGTCCGCACTCGTACGTCCAGTATGACAATACTGTACCTCACGAACTGGTGCAGTGTCGTCTTATTAGCGACTATACTGTATCTATGTCGCTCTTTATCGCAATTCACAATCAAGCGTACATGATATTGATCAGTTTAACTCGAAGGAATTTATGAAGCGATCGCAGTAAGTAATTCGTGTCAGCACAGTGCGCATACAACCAACACTGACTGCAAAAAGTTTGAACTAAAAAATTAGGAAATGGACTGTACTTACCGTAAGGGTAATACTGTATACTGTAATGATGTATAATCAACCGTTGATGGGTAGCGCGGCGCGCGCTGGGGTCGTTGCTAGTCCATTACTGCGCCCTTATAACTAATTAGCTCATCTGGATCCTGTCGTCTACCAATGTTTCATTTGTTTTTCCTGTTTGCTCTTGTATCCCTGGACAAGCGGGCATAATGGACCGCTTTCTCGGCGCTGGTGCCGCGGTTGTGCTGTTGTTGGTCGCGCTACCTGCAAGCCGCGGATGTCCAAGCCAAAAGGGACGTAGCGTGGAGTCGGTGGACAGATGTAAGCCACGGTGCAGTTTTCTCAGCACGAATTGCCTAGTCTCCCGTGTCACCATATTATTTTTTGGGCAGTGAACCAGATCCTGAACGAAGCCAAAAAATCCAACGGAAACGGCAGCATGTTTTTGCGCGGGTATGGGCGGCCGCCCTCGACCCCGAGGTTCCCGACGGCGGAATGGCCGCCCAACACGGAGATCATTCGAGCGCCCGAAAGGGGAGAACTGGTCATTCCCTGCAACAACACGAACAATTTACAGCAGGTACCGCATTTATGATAGATATATGAATATCTCGTGAGAGGAGCAGTAGCGTTTATATACGAGTAGAAGAGGTAAAGGTGTGTCGGAAAATTATTATTACGGCACAAGAGCAGACAAGCCCAAAGGGACTTCAAGTCTGGTCGAACACAAGAGCCTATGTTATATGCAGATGTACAGACATGACACGGATGTAATACGGAAATACCTTCTCCATATGACAGCGACCTTAAACAGGCCTATTCGTGCGTGACCTTAGGTATTACACACAGGTGTCCCACGTGTCGATTCCGCCAGCATACACGTACAACGGGAAGCTGTATCCCGTCAACGAGAACGATACCGTCGGAGACGGGTATGCCGCGGGGAAGCATTCCTGCTGCAACTGCACACCGGAAGCCAGCAGCCGGGGCTTCGTGCGGCGCTCCTGGTCCGTCTCCGAGTACGATCCGGCCACTGGTGCGTTCGCCATCACGCTGCACAACTTCACGGCCTTCGCCAGCGGTCTGTACGAGTGCCTGCACTCCAACGGCCGCCAGCTGGTGGTGACGCAGCGCTACGGGGTCATCGCCACGCTCCTCCGCCACGAGGTCTTCGACCCGCCCATGCAGAACGTCACCGTCCGCCTCGGCGACCCCGCGGAGATGGTCTGTCCCGTCCGCTTCAACTTCAACCGGAAGCGCTGATCCGCCGCTTCCTGTGGCGCAAGGGACACTTCCTGCTGATGCCCGCATCCATTCCGGAGGTAGCCGACGAGGCCGAAGCATGGCGGGGCTTCAACGGGCACTTTGAGGTGGGCGTGCGGCCGCCCTGTGTGTGCAGCGCCACCATGAAGATCAACAGCGTCACCTGGGAGCACGCCGGTGTGTACGAGTGCTGGTTCCGCATCGACGACCGCCTGGATGAATGGATCATGCAGGAGGCCCATCTGCACGTCGTTTAAGCGGGTCAGCGGTGCGCCAACGGTTTTCAAAATGCAGGCTGCTCAGCATCGCCTCTGCGGCTCTGCCTGTACATATCGTTGACCAGTCAGCTCATGGCTTATGGGATTGGTCAATATTCTTTGGATGATTTGGCTTTACTCTCTTTATTCTTTATTTATTTATTAATTTTAGCGCGGTAATGCGGCTTCTGTTTCCAAAACTGTTGGTTGTTCGAAATAGCTAAGAAGAGTTCTTTTCATTTCTTCTACATACAGTAGCTTAAGTGGCTTCCCAGTGTTTCGTTGTTTTCTTGTTAGGTATTGAGAAATACTTATGTATATTTATTTACTGAGCGCGCTTCCAGAGAACTTACTGATCTGTTTATCAAGAAGGTAAACATTCATACCAGTTGCTAAGCACGAGAAAGGTCATATGCTTAAGTACAAGCCGTCACATGTTTGCTCTTTTATACCTGGAAAATCGGTCATAATGGATTGTTTTGTCGGGGCTGCTGCCGCGGTTCTGCTGCTATTCGTCGGGCTACCTGGAAGCCTCGAATGTCCAAGCCAAAAAGGCCTCAGCGTGGATAGATGTAAGAAACGGTGCGGTGTACTCAGGACGAACTGTGTAGACTCCCCTGTGACGGAATATGGAGTACAGTAACGATGTTGTACGTAAAGTGACGGCTTTATTTGTACTAAGTACAAATAGTGCAACCCTTTTTCAGTGCAACTTTTTATGGCAAATTTAATAATACTAAAATCGGATCCGTTGAGGCTGTCAAGAACGCGTTGTGCGCTTAGTAACGGGGAGGGGCAGTGGGCGTTTGAGGGATGCCGGACGATTATAACAGCCTTTATAAAAAACTCGCCAAACGATATTTTTGCACGGAATTTTTGATGGTTGCCGTTTGAGTTTCTTAAACCAGTTTCTCTCTGCATGGCTTATTGGGTGGTGTCAGAGTAGAAGGCTCTGCCCTCAGGACAGCCGCCCCATCCGCCGCCTACCTGGTTGTCTCAAGCTCAAGCACAAAAATCTTGATCTCAGCCAACAACGGCGATGGCACAGTGGCTGTGCTACGTGGATCACACACTCGGTAGCCAGCGGTTCGATTCCGCTCCGTCGCCATTTTTCAGAATTTCCTCAACAGGAAATTCTTTCAGACTTCATCTGGCCGCCCTCCCTTCGCTGAGATACCCACGGACAGCCGTCTTTATGGCAGCCTCTGATAGTGGACAGAAGCGTTTAAACTGGCAAGCGTGTATGTACAAAGGGTCAATTCTCCACTTTAACTATGCCCAAAGTTACATCTCAAAGGTCACGTAGGTTTGGTTGTTATCGAACGATCTGAGATACAGTACGCAAGAGCCTTAAATAGCGAACACGTCAGACTTATTTAGTTTGGATAAATACGTCAATGGAATTTTTAAGCGAATTATAATTCGGAGGAAGGCTCCCACGGTACATGGGTTTGAAACTGGTCTGCTCTAGTTTCGCATACACTGCAATTCGAAACACGCTCTCAGCGTAAGGAACGATAGTCCAAAGAGGGTAGACACATACGGCAATACTATAAAATGTAATGATTAAGTCATTTGTGATGGGTGACCTCAGACCCGTGACAGGATTCGGAAAAAAGTGCCCGAACATGGCGTAGCACCCCTGTACACATCACCGCAGCGGCACACCGACAACTCGTTGACCACTATCCGGCTGACCGACAACTTGCTGGCAGTTTTTTGCCGACCGACGAAACGATGACCCAACAGTTTGTCGAAACGACAAATCGCTGAACGACTTTTTGTGAACACCGACAACTTGCTGACGACACTTTGCTGGCTGGAGAAACCCAAGAAACTTAAGAAGCCAAAGAAAACCTAAGAAAAAACGACAAAAAAGTTATGAAAACTCAAAAATCAACGTATCGCACCGAAAAGCAACTTGTCGGTCAAGAAAAATGTTTCGAGAAAACATCGGTCAACGATTGTCGGTCGGCGAACTGACGTGCCGCTCACCGCGGCACAACGCCGCCGCGACCTTTATGTGGCTTAAACCTTGAGCAATAAACTGTAGCAAGCTAGCAACGGTTGCTAAGCAACCTGTTGGACGAATATCAGTATATTGAGCGCTGCCACCTGATGCGTTTACTTTTCATTTCATTTAAACATATTATTTTTTGCACAGTGAACCAGATCCTGAACGAAGCGAAACAATCCAACGGAAGCGGCACCATGTTTTTGCGCGGGTATGGGCGGCCGCCTCCAACCCCGCGATTCCCGACATGGGAATGGCCGCCCAACACGGCGATCATGCGAGCGCCCGAAGGCGGCGCACTGGTCATTCCTTGCAACAACACTAACAACATGAAGGTACAGCATCCGCGTTTATATACGAGTAGAGCCTAGAGGTGAGGTTATTTAGGGAAATAACACAAGAGGCTATGTAGATGCACACACACGACACGAGTGAGATACGGAATACATTATACATTCTCTATATGACAGCGACCTTAAACAGGCATATTCGTGAATGACCTCAGGCATTACACACAGGTGTCCCACGTGTCCATTCCGCCGGCATTCATGTACAACGGAAAGCAGTTCGCCATCACAAAGGGCAACACCCGGGAAAAATCATCCGGGGAAACGAATCACTGCTGCAACTGCACACCGGAAATCAGTAGCCGGGGCTTCGTGCGGCGCTCCTGGTCCGTCTCCGAGTACGATCCGGCCACTGGTGCGTTCGCCATCACGCTGCACAACTTCACGGCCTTCGCCAGCGGTCTGTACGAGTGCCTGCACTCCAACGGCCGCCAGCTGGTGGTGACGCAGCGCTACGGGGTCATCGCCACGCTCCTCCGCCACGAGGTCTTCGACCCGCCCATGCAGAACGTCACCGTCCGCCTCGGCGACCCCGCGGAGATGGTGTGCCCCGTCCGCTTCAACTTCCTCCCGGAAGCGCTGATCCGCCGCTTCCTGTGGCGCAAGGGACACTTCCTGCTGATGGCCGACGCCATCCCGGCGGTGGCCGACGCGGCCGTGGCGTGGTGGGGCTTCGATGGATTCTTTGAGGTGGGCGTGCGGCCGCCCTGTGTGTGCAACACCACCATGAAGATCGCCAGCGTCACCTGGGAGCACGCCGGTGTGTACGAGTGCTGGTTCCGCATCGACGACCGTCAGGATGAATGGATCATGCAGGAGGCCCATCTGCACGTCGTTTAAGCGGGTCAGCGGTGCGGCAAATGAGTGTACAAACATAGATTTTGAATGCTGTGGATCGGTACTATCTCGTTTTCTACTTTGGAATAGATACCATAATGTTAGATGTTTGATGCAGTGGTATTTGTCTGCGGTGGCATTTAAGCAACTGCCGTCAGTCAACCGTCAGTACCCACTGCCTAAATAATTTTAATCTTTACGAATACGAGTACTCAAGTTCAAGTATCACTAACACTCGTAATTAAATCTTACCGCTACCATGCAGGACGTTTGTTCTTGATGTCGATCGTGATGCGACGCATCAAACAACTAATGTTAAGGGTTAACCTTTAATAAGTATCGTAGTACAAGTACAAACTTAGTACCAAAACAGAACGTCATTATAATGTTAAGGCAGATGCTGTGATGTCCGGCTACATGCTGCGTACAGCACCACACTACGGCTGGTGCCGGCCTGCGACGCATGGAGAATTTTTCATGGCAGTAAAAAATCCTCGGCCTGTGTGGCGGGCCGCATTAAGCGGAATGGATGACGGTGGTGCGCGTGTAGGCGGGCCGGAAAGGACACGGCAACAGCGGCGTGCGGCCCTTTCGGCAGGGACGTCGCGCTCGCTAGCAACGGCCGGCTCACGGCACTTGGTGGTCGGATGCGGCAAATGCTTGAGCAGTGAATCACGGGATCCGTAGATATCGAAATCTCTTTACCAGAATAATTCGAAATGAGCTGATCATACCTGTGTCAAGTCTGTCCGCTGCACGAGTAGGACGGATGTTTAATGATTATTTTCCTGTGCAGCGGATCACTGAATAATAATTTTTTAACAATAATTACGTACTGTATTACGACACTGACAATCACTGCTACGGCAATGTGTAATATGTAGCACATTATTCTGAATACTGGAAGTCTGGAAGTATGCCACAATAAATTACGCATTTTCATGTCATAACGATGGACTTTGCAGCATACACTATGTAGTACTCTACGCTAGTAGCTAGCCAGTAAGTGGCAATTCTTCTCGCATTTCTTCTCCAGAGTAAGACGTCGCGTCTAGAATTAAGTCTACTTGATCCTTAAGCCAGTGTTCGGCAATGATTTGGCAATGGCGGCGCATTGCGCAGATGTACGTTCTAGGTACTTTGTAACAGCGAAATACGTACCAGCACACAAGGGCGTGTCCCTTCAGTGCACGAGCGTTTATAGTAGAAAGAAATTTCACGGTTAAATTTTTTTTGAAAACCGTTTTCAGATTTGAACCCAGCGCATGAAATAACGTCTAAGTCTCCAGTTTCAAAAGATTTGACCGTGTAGTTATCGAGATTCGAAACACATGTAAGTTGAGGTTGCCGGTTACCGGGCCAATTTTATTTATCTTCTACCGTCTCCCATTTTTGGCGTTATACGTCAATTACAAGGCCATCCTAATGCTAATACCAGGCACTAATGCGTGCCCGTAATTGGGAAGCCCACACACCATGGTCAGTGAAACGTTCGATATACTACGTCTCTGCGACTCAGGGCTTATAAGTAAATTTCACACATGAATTCCAGCGGCCGAAGATGACGAATACTAATAACGATTTTGGTTGTCTCTTCGCTGTTTAAATTTGAATCATTTCAATTATTGTCCATCAGCAGACACATCTATATTTGCACTTTGCAGGTGTACTACCTAGTGGGTAGTGGCTAATGACATTGTGTTGCCATTAAAATTTGGCGCCAAAAATGTACATAGACGTACAATACATCGCCAGTGTATTAAATGTGTAAACTGTAGTTGTACACAGTCTCATCTGAATAATATACAGTATCTATCTACAGACAGATATTGTATTACAGTCACTGTAAACTGCAACTTGTAAGTATGTATATAAGCCCAGTGCCTGTTCTGTCGGCTCCTGATTCTCCTTCGTTATAAATGCTCAGTGTGAAGTCTTCATTCAGTAAAATTTGACTGACGTTAGATGGGCAACGTGCGCCATCTACCGGTACTAGTACTTTGCTGTTGAACATAACGTCGGTACAGATAATATACGTACAGTGGCGGAAGCGATGCTAGGTAAGCAGCAGCGGGCGGCCGTTTCGTTTTCCCATATTATCATGACCGATATATTATCATCAGTCATAACAACACCGGCCGCGATGGATATTATTGTCCAAGATCAAACAGCTAGCCTTCTCCCTGTTCACCGCCAATTCGGATTAGACGCCACGTGGTGGACCCGCGCAGTAGCCAGTGGGCAGCTACGGCCGCATAATAACAGCACCGTGGGGAGTGTCCCAGGGAGCTTGTATAATGCGATCGTGCTGGCGCCACATCCCGTACTTGCTCGTAGTCAGGAGAGTGCCTTCTGGAAGGGGATGACGGATACTATCATTCGCGGTGGCCGTCGGGGAAGGAACGCGGGATACGTACCTAATCTTCACTAGAAGCTACTTAAACTAGAAAAAATGAAATAACTCTTCTTCGCTCTTTCGAACAACCTACCGTTCTCGAAACGGAAACCGCATTACCGTCCTGAAATTAATTCTACGCTATTTAATAACAGATTTAAATTATTATTAAACCTGAAATGTAATCGCTCTGTGCTATAACCCAAAGAATATTAATTTTACCGATACCATAAGCCATGAGCTGACGGTGGTAAGGGACATGTACAGGTAGAACTAGAGGCTGAGAAATCAGCTAGACTTGGGCTGCCGTTGCATTTTGACCCGGCTGATTCCCCGCCAACGGACGCGGCAGCAGGGACGGGGCCCGTGCGGCCATATCATGAAAGGACCTAGGACGCCTGCTAGCGCCCTTCGATGATGCGGCCGTGCGGGCCTCCTATCCAATGGTCGTACGTATCGCCGTGGAGAATGCGTGCCGGAAGCCGGGATCACCCAGATCGCCCTGGCGGACGGCCCGAGAGCTGACTGCCAGCCAGCTGCAGCGGAACGCCCATCCTCCCCGAACATCGCCCAAACAACGGACACCGTCGAACTATGCCAGCGGTCGGTGTCGTCGGGCGTTGGCGATCGTTAGCCGAAAGGACGACGCTGACGCTGCCCGGCATCCAATAATTACGGACGGCGCAAAATCCGCGCAGGACAGTTGCGAAAGCAACAACATCAAAGGTCACCATGTAGGGTGGGCGGGTGGTAAATGAAAAACAGGAGAGGGCTAATCATCGGAATGATAATACAGCAGCTCGTCAACACGACTGATCAGAAGAGAATGCAAAAGGCAATCGGGCCGTGTGCACGGCCGGCGGCAACTCCCGCGTATTCGCCAGGCATAACAAAGAAAGTGGGCTGAGCCGACTCGAAACAAAGCAATACATGGAATTTACCACGAATTTAACTTCACTTAGCTAGCTAACTATCCTTTACGGACGGCGCAAAATCCGTAGAAATACATGTCATCGTTTAAGTAACGGTTGTATCTTACCAACTGGCAGCGAAACGGAAATGGCAGTAGCCGGCCAGCAAGCCGCTAACCTTGACAGTTCGCGCTTTTATGGAGGAGATAATATCGACATAAAGTGGTCTTAAGCCACGCCTAGCTAACGGGTAGGAATATGTTTTCTGGGCATGTGTTGTAAGCTGCGTGACGGGCGAGCAAAGGCCGCGTTACAGAAATAAATCTATCTCTGGCCTTTTCCAGCATTTTCGCCGCCGCTTATTCTCCTCTCGCCGTAATCAAAGCACGAGGCTTATCCTTAGTTCAAAGTTGATTTGTGAGAGAGCTGATGTGGTCCGCATAACGTTAGTTCTACTATTACTGCAGACCTTATCTTTAATCAAAGATACGAGTAGAAGGGAAGGTTAGAAATTTAATTTGTAGAGAGTTTGCACTGACTGACTGCGCATGGGATTCGTTACGAAGGCTACCGGTACATGGTACAAAGTTCGGGTCGACGCACGTGAACTTTCTCCACGTATTACAGCCGAATGGTTTGTACAGATCTGTATAGTTTGGCGTGCCTGCAAGGTCCGATTGGTGAGTTATCGGTACTGAAGTACATAAGTAGGATTCTCCAGACAGATGTACTGGTACCAAAAATCTCATTAACAACCGATCTGGTGGTTTTTTTAAGATACCGCGATTGCATCTGAATCTGATCATGCAGCGCATTACAAGACCAGCATTCTGTGCAAAGCCGGTAGCGCTTTTGTGTATTGTGCAGATCATTTGAAGCAGCGGGCAACAGCATTACTACGTAAGGTATTTATATACAGAGTATTGTACATACGAGTATAACAGCAGAACGAAATATTGCAGCTATGCCCGTCCAACCGCAATACTACTAGCGCATTATTATTAGCAGGAAACTGAGTCTCAAAGCCGCCCAGGCCAGGCGCAGTTGTGATGCTGCTGCTCTTCTGGCGGTAAAGGTCATGTCAACGGACGGGTAGGGCTCGGGGCAGCAGGTATAGTAGCGGACGTTGCGGACTGCCGAGCTGGCGACGATACGGTAGCGGGTAACACGCTGGGAATACAGATCAGAATAATCTGCAAAGGTCAACACACGCTGCTGCACAATACAGCTTCATTCATCACCAATATAATATTATTCGAACAGATACGTTACCGCTTCGGTGACTTATGTAGTCAAAGTCCGTCACAAAGTCCACCAGGGAACCGTCGTACATCCACGACGCTACACTCAACCATTATCCAAATTATTAGTTATTTACTCTCCACAAGCGGCAAACCCGCAACTGTACCGAGTTTGATAGCGCAGTGCACTTCGTCAGCGGCTGTGTTCTGCGTTGTATTACAGCTCAGCGGGAAGGTCACGCGCGGGATCCACGTGACAGTACCATCGGAATGCACCGAGACCAGCTGTCTTTCTTCGGGGAACACAGCGCGACTGCGCGGGTCGTAGCTGTTAATGAATGCACTAGAGGCAACGAAAACAGTTGATCGTATCGTGCGTATGTACACTCGGAAGACGGACGCCAATAATCTATACTAACCTGTTGTAAAGCGTAATGTCGGGCAGCCAGACGCGGTCGGCCGGGAGGTGCACGACGGAAATATTGTGGTGCTGCAGCGGGTCCCACGTCAGCCGGCTGTCCCTCCAGTTCAGGTCCAGAAATCCCAGCAGTACGACCAAATCCGACTGCAGAGCATGCTATAACCAGACCGAACAACTGAACAAGTACACCGTGGATGCCTGCGCCATAATTCAGTCCAAGCGGAAAAAAGGCAGATATGCAGCCCTGTACATGTCCTCGTACACTCAATCAGTTTGGCAGCCAACGCAGCGCGATGCTGCTATTGGTACTGGACGCGTGTGCTGGATGAAACGATTGTGACGAACAAGTACAATTTATGTGTCGGTCAGCGTAACTGCACCGACCTCACGTTGTATGCCAGTAGCAGTCAGGTGGACGCTGATGGTCACCGGCTGACCGGGCTGGTCAGCGTTGGGCGGTACATAGACGTCTGCGGCGGCGATAAGATGCCGCACCAAGGCCGACGTCTTCAGCGAGCTGGCCGCGATGATATTTTTATGATGGCCAATTAGTCCGGCGCTGCAGCAAAGAAATATTACTAAACGCCGGATATACATTGCGCAGGGCGAATGATCAGCGAGAGCAACACTCAACAACAACGTTAACGACAGCGTTAGCGGGCAAGAAGTATTTTAGCCAGTTGTGTACACTCTCGAGCATTACTACAGGGATGACTGGCAGCTGTCTGCTATGGGATCATTGCGTACAGTTGTATGCAGTGCACTTTGTAACTCCTCGTACATGTAACGTACCTCGCGAAGTGGCGCAGTGTACAACTGGCGACATTCCCATAATATGCTTTTATCTAGCTTCTGCACCTGCATCGCTGTTCACAACTGACATGGCATAATTAGGAACCAGTGTAATTTGAAGGACAGCCATAAAAAACAAACCGCCTCACGCTGCCACCCCGGGCGGTCGTAATTGTTTCCGGCGCCGGATGTCCAAGATTCCTTCGCTGTAAATCCTCATGATCAGTCTGGATATTCGTCCACACAACTTAACCAGCAGCACTGTTGCCCAATGCCCTGGCATCTTGACTGCAGCGTTATTCCACTTACCAACTTGTAAGTGATCGCCTGTTAAACAAAATAATTATGAAGGCATTTTGTGATTTGCCCACCACATTACTTACTATTCCGCAGTAAACACGAACTGAATTACTACCAACGCAGGTACATGTTATACCCTCCAAATAAAGGGCAGATGCATCATGTCACTTATTCACCTAGCGGTTTTGTTCACCTAGAGATTCACTGCTCGGTCATCACTCTCCTAGCGATTTCGTTTTGTGCACTGGACAGCTGGTGGTAGCTCGGTGACTCACTGCCCTATCAGTTTGGTTTTGTTTCCTTGGAAACCTGGGCTAATTCAAACATGGTGCAGAAATTGGATTTTTTTAGGCACTTGAACATTGAACATTTGAACAGCAATCAGGCGATTAAAATTCAGCATGTTTGCAAAATTTATTACACAGTAAAACCTCTCGTTACATACAAATTACAATTCTATATTAAGTACACTTCTGAGTTCTTTATAACATTCAACCTGTAAGGAACCGAACTGGCTCGCATGTTATAACATAGGGGCGATTCTCTTTATAACATTCACCTCTTTATAAGCCTTACATACACTTTCCGCGGAACCGAATGTAGTTTAACCATTGTAGAAAACCGCTGAACAGTATTCAGAACAACAGTTGCATACACGTAACTGGCTGATGTTATCTTAACATCCTGGACTAATACGGAGCAACATTAACGTTGTTTGTGTAAATGGTAATTACTTTGTACTATAGTTATGCAAAAGTATATCTCAGCAGAATATTCTTATTTTATCAGTCTTCAAGTGCTAATCATACTTTAATGAACTAGTCCAAACGAAGTTTGTATTTTTCAATGTACTCGTATGTACGAATGTAATTCAAATTTGTAATGTACTACAGATTCTTGCTACTACTGCCTTAATGTTGCATTTATAAAATACATGTACTGCGACCCCCCACACCCCAAATTATAGCAGCGCCCCTGGGGGCAGTTTCTCTTTATGAAATTCACCCCGGTATAACATACGAAACTGATGGAAGTTCATCATGGAACCGTGCCTGAATTTTATGAAGAGGTTTTAAGGTAGTACATACTTAATATGTACTTTCATAAATGTGTTAAGCAACTGGCACCGCTATATTATTCCCAAGTTCACCTGGAAGGCTTTACCGAAGCCAGTTGTGCCGAAACCGGCATCGGTGGGACGGGTGTAAAAATTTTTTTAAGAAATAAAATGCATGTGACACACTTTCTGAACAGGCTGAATCTAATGGCGTTTGCAGTTTTTTTGGATTAGGTTGTGGTTTTTCCGATCTCGGTGTCTCAGGTTTTTTTGCAGTTATACATATTATAGATCTTCCTTCATATGTATATTGAAGCTTTAATAATATCATACTGGTACAGTACAAGATCGTCGATAGTAAGCGGTTTCACGAAAATGATCAAAATAAATTTGTACATAATTGACAACAAGGCAGCATTTTGGCGCCGCAAAAATAGCTAGGGCCAGCCGACCTGCACATCACAGTTATGCTAATCATCACGGAATCGCGTCAATGGTACGAGTACGGCTCGTAGTTGTAATTCCTGGACAAAACCTCAAGCTCCGTCTCCCGCAATAGCCAGCGTTGCGTGAGTTCATGCGGCCGAAATAAGCACTGGATGGGTCCAGTTACTGGACCCGTCCAATGCATATTTCGGCCGCTTGAATACTGGACTCCAGTATCGTCCACTGTGACGGGCCGCAGATGGTATGTATTTCGCAAGACACCCCCGGGCCGGGATAGTTCCTAGCAGGGCTGTGCTCCAAGCGGACTCGGCCGGGTCCGGCGGTGGCCATGGCTGTTTCGTTGACCTGCATGCGCCCGGTAATAATCCGGTTACAAAAAACACAGAATTAATCCTGAATCTTCCCACTTGTTTGTTCTATACATAGTGCGAGCCTGGTCCGGGGCCGCACTATCTGTCTGTATCAGCACGAACGAGTCGGTGAACGGGACGCCTCAGGGACACAATTACACCAACCAAGCCCAGCGTGTCGCGCAGCATCCCCCTGCTCCTGCCGAATAAAATTTTGAAACGAACACTACAAAGGAAGTATCTGCAAAATAATTTGCAACTTCAGAAGTTAAATTGAAAATTATTTTGGAATGTTTTTGAAAAAACTTTAAAATTTAAAAATATAGAAATGCTTCTCAAATTACTGAAAAACTCAGAACTATTTTGATATTTCAGGAAATCATTCGGAAATTAACTGCAAAAGGTTCAGGTGAGCTGGAAATCATTTAGAATTTAGACAGTAAACAGAAGATTTAACGTAAAAAAAATATCCAGTAAGAAAAATATCAATTTGATCATTTCGAAAACTAACTGCGCTCCAAAAATTCATTGTTTTCATTCAAAAATAGTTTATTAATTTTCGGGAAATCAATATGGAAGCTACAGTCTTTAACTACCAACTATAAATTTGATTTTGAATTTTGGAAATAAATTGCAAATTAAGTTTCGAATAAAAACTAATAATAATTTGGGAATGTGGAAAAAATTGGGGAAAACTAATTTCAAAATCCACAAAATACACAAATCGGAAATTAACAAGAAAAGCAATTTAAAAATGATAATTATTTTGTAACTGAATTTCAGAAATACGAAAGATAATTTTAAATTAAATTCCGAAATCTGGGAATAATCTAGAAAATAGCTGGTATAATAATATAATTTCTTAGGTCTTCTGAAAATGATTTTAGGTACCGGATAGAAATTGTCTTTTAGTAATTGGAAAATCGTTCCACAGCACGGGGCTTATCCTTGGTTCAAAGTTCAGTTGTCAGAGAACCGATCTAATCTGGGTATTGTTACTAGTAGTTCCGCTGCACTGTGTAATTATGTGTTTCTGCACGCGTTATCTTCGGTCGCAATCCATTCGCATATGTGTCGGCACTTCCGCCGGTAGCCCGGTGCCAGCCACCGTCCTAACAGCGCAGCACAACATACAGTAACACACAGTAAGTGTGCTTTGTGGAAAATGGCGAACACTGGAAAACGCCATATACGGTACTTCGCACAGGGGTTTAATTTTCTGCGGGCGTAATTTCGCAGTTTAACCACTTGATCCACAATTAGTTAATTTATCCCAGTTTAATATTTTTGTGAATTTATTTAATTTCTCCAGATACTTTTTAATCGCTTTGCAAATAATGTGCATATCTGTAGTCTTGATTATACGGTTAGCATTTCGGTGTGCATATATAGTGATATATTACAGTATTCGATGGGTGAATGTAGAGACAAGCAAGCACGCATTCTTACAGCTCAGCAAAAATGGCGCCCTTATAGAGCGTAAATTAAAAATCTGAAATTAATCGTTTTTCCAACGGCCGGCGGCCGATTACGTCCATTGTGGAACGGCATGGTGCGCACTGCGCGATGGAAGGGAGCGCAGCGTGACAGAAGCCGACAGGCGAATAGAGCGAAGATTAGAAATTTATTTGAACGTACACTTACTGGCAGTGCATGTGATTCGTTAAGAAAGCGGTACATGGTACAAAGTTCCGGTCGACGCACGAGTACTTTCTCCCCAACCCTGTTTCTGCATCGATTTCCACACACTATAGCCGAATGGTTTGTATACATCCCCGTGCACGCAACATCGCGGTTCGCGGAGTTATCGGTAAAATCAGATTTCAAGATTTTCAATGCAGCCAGATGTAGCCAAATTCTCTTTACGAACCTTACACTTACATTTTACTTACTACCTAAGTACTGCACGTGTCTCCACAAATCTTTACAAAATTTTGCACAAATCTTTCTGGTAGTTTCTTCAAGATAGCGGGTTGGCACTTAAATCTCATACAGCGCATTACAAGGCCAACATTCTGTGCAGAGCTGGTAGCGCCGTTATGTATTGCACAGATTACTTGCACCAGCGGGCAGTATTTAGTATAGATATACGTACCTACATGTACATATTAGCAGAACGAAGTAACTATGCACGCCCAAGCGCATTACGGCATTACTACTAGCGCATTATTACTAGCAGGAAAGTGAGTATCAAAGCAGCCCAGGCCAGGCGCAGTTGTGATGCTGCTGCTCTTCTGGCGGTAAAGGTCATGTCAACGGACGGGGGTAGCAGGTAGCGGACGTTGCGGCCGAGCGACGGTAGCGGGTAGCAGATCAGAATAGTCTGCAAGGTCAACACACTCTGCTGTACAATACAGCTTCATTCGTTAGCAATATGTATGTGTACAGATACACTACCGCTTCTGTGAGTTAAGTAGCCAAAGTCCGCCACAAAGTCCACCAGAGAACCGTCGTACATCCGCGAAGCTACATTCAACCAAGATCAAATTAATTGAAATTATTATCATTTATTCTCCACATTGAAGCGGCAAACCGGCAATTGTACCTAGTTTGATAGCGCAGTGAACTTCATCACCGGCTGTGTTCCGCGAGCTATTACAGCTCAACGGGAAGGCCACGCGCGGTATCCACGTGGCAGTGCCGTCCGGTGCACCGAGACCAGTTTTCTTTCTTCCGGGAACACAACAGAACTGCGCGTAATCGTATCGTAGCTGATGAAGAATGCACTAAAGTCAAATAAAACAGAGGATACAGAATGCGCCCGT